GGCTCCAGGTGGGGGTCCCAGCCCCTCAGGACGGGAGAGCCACCGGCTCCAGGTGACCCAGCATAGCTACCGCAGCCACATGGAGTACACAGTCAGTGACCACAAGCCAGTGGCTGCCCAGTTTGTCCTGCGGGTGAGTTCCGGCATCATCCTCTCATGACGTCCCCCACACCCTAGCTCAGCAGTATCCCCTCACACCTGCCGTCAGCAGCATCTGTTTGTTGTAGCAGAGTAGGAGTAGAGTTATGATCTCCATTTTCATATGAGGAGACTTAGGTTCAGACATAGCATCATTTGCCCAGGGTCATTATAGCTAATCACAGGATTTGAACCCAGGCTAGTTTGATTTCCTAGTCTATCCATGCCTTTTCCACTAATCTCTAACTTACTACTTTCCAGAAAGATTAAAATTTACATATATAGTAAGACTGGCAAAGTCAAAATGCTCACCCAGCATCATGTAGCATTCATTCACATCTATCCATGATTTATCATCCTACCATGTGTCTGGACCTGTAAGAGTTAAGAGTGATGGGCAAAAGGAGTAGGCATATAAAAAGTATGAAGTTTAAGTCTAAATAGTCACTTTAATTTAGCACATTTAGGACCCTCCCTTGTGGTGCGATGGGTTAAAGCACAGCACTGCAAGCAAGCTGTAGCTGCTTCAGTGCGAGTTTGAGCCCCGGCCCCAAGGTGATCCACTTTGCATGCGGACCTCTTTTGACTGCCCTATGCTCCCCTCAGCAGTGTACTTCATCACTCTGCCTGTTCTGCTCCCCACTCTGTCGTTGGTGAATCCTCTCACCACTTCTGCACCTCTAGCCTGCACCCCAGTTCTGTATGCATAACTATTTAAAAAATAATAATGATTTAGCAAATGTAGGATTCAGGCCCTTAGTTGTCTAAGTAAAAAGGGGAAATACTAGAACATTAATATTGGAATTGAGAGCCCCTGTAATCCAATTCTTTGTTTTTCTAGTGGGAAACTGAGGCCTCTGTGTGGTGGACACATGCCATGGTATACTGTCCGTGTTAGAATGGGATAGGTTCCATCTTTCCATCCCTGAAACCCAACTCCGGACTCTCCAATTCTCTTGGTCTGATAAGGCAAGCCCTGCAGATCAGAGACTGTTTTCCCTGGGAACTTTATCACATGGTCAGTTGTGGGGGTTGATCAGTATCCTCCTGGGAATAGAAATCTGCTCATTTCTGGTCTCCTCTAACCTTTATTAGAAGGTTTAGTTGTGGGGTCCATCAGGGTCCTCACCTTGAGAGCTACTTCTTTTTTTTTTTTTTTTAAGATTTATTTATTTGTGCATACAGAACTGGGGTACAGGCCAGAGGCTCAGGGGTGGTGAGAGGCTTCACCAGAGACAGAGTGGGGAACAGAACAGGCAGATCGACGAAGTACACTGCTGAGGGGAGCAGCAGGCGGGTCAGGAGAGGTCTGCCACACCATGTGGTCACCTCCGGGGCAGGCGGGAATCGAACTCGTGTGGAGGCAGCTTTAGATTCTCAGTGCTGTGCTTTAACCCGCTGCGCCACCAGGGAGGGCCGAGAGCTACTTCTTTTTGGCATCCAACCCTAACCTCCCTTCCTTGTTCTGACTTTCTGTCTCTTATACAACATCACCTATGGAGCACCTATTACATGCCAGGCCCTGTTTAGCACACCAGACATATGTCATTACTTTGAATATCTTTGTAGGCCCTGAGGTGTCCAAATTCTTTACCCAGTTTTACTGGTAAAGGAAACTAGAGTCCAGAGAACTTAAATCTCTGACCCAAGGCAACACAACAGAATGGGACTGAGTGGGCATTTTATCCCACAAGGTCTTCTAGGGCATTTCCCAGAGGCCCCACTCTCCCATCAGCTGGCCAAAACTGCTGTTAGGAGCCTTGGGACAGGGAGAGGATGTGCTTGTTTCTTCTGAAGCAGCTTGGCTCAGAAGATGAAGATGAAGGGAAACCTGAAACCAAATAAGCAGGGAAGCAGACAGATAAACAGGGTGCCAGACTCAGGCTGGCACAACCTGAGTCCTCCCTGAGGGACAGAGGTGGAGTCAATACCCTGGCCACCTGCCACCCCAGCAACCCCATGCAAATGGGTGACCCCTGATTGGCCTGGAGTGACCCTTGGGAGAGGGTACTCATGGCTATAATTTGTCTTGAAGACAAATTATGACAAGATCATAGTTCATGGATCCTTAGTACAAGTGGAGAAACTGAGTCTTGGGTTGTCTAGAAACTTATCTGAGATCATGGGGCAAGTTAGTGGCAGTAACTGAAGTCTCTAGCCTTCAGCCCAAGACTCCTCTTGCCTGCTCAGGGATGTTCACCTGACCCCAGGATTATCCAGTGTACCACGTCCCTCTTGCTATAGGCAAATCATTCATTCACTGGTGACCAACTGTATACTGGAAAGTATATGGGGTGCTTTACAAATAGTATCTCACTGAATCTGCAGAATATTCCCAAGAGTTAAATAAGATTCCGAGTTTACAGACAAGAGCCCTGGCATTCAGTGAGGTCAGGAAATTCACTCAGCACCAAACAGCCTGCCGGTGGCAGAGCCAGCCAGGGCGAAAGCCCCAGTTGGTTAGCTTCAAAGCTGCGTTTTCACTCCCTAAGAATGCTCTGGGCAGAAGGAGCCCAAGCTGCCTGGTATTTACCCAGGAGCTGTTCTGCCTCAGTTTCCCAGTCTGCAGGGTTTCAAAGGCCCTTTGGACCAACCAATTTGTGCTGACTCAAGCCTACGGGCCCTGGGTGCACGGACTGTTAGAGCTTCTCCCTCATGTGGCGCCTGGCCCTGCAGTTTGCCTTCAGAGACGATGTGCCGCTGGTACGGCTTGAAGTGGCAGACGAGTGGGTGCGACCGGAGCAGGCTGTGGTGAGGTACCGCATGGAAACAGTGTTCGCCCGCAGCTCCTGGGACTGGATTGGCTTGTACCGGGTGAGAAGGGCAGGAGTGGTCAGAGACTCGGGAGGAGGAAGGGCCTGAAGGAGCTGGGCCCTCAGGGTATCACTGACATCTCCAGATGTCATGCTGGGAGGCCCCCGGGGTCAAGTGAGAGGGCTCACAAACTTAACTCTCATCCCAGGTGGGATTCCGCCACTGTAAGGACTACGTGGCTTACGTCTGGGCCAAACATGAAGATGTGGATGGGAACATCTATCAGGTAGTTAAGTGGGTGGGGAAAGTTGAGGGAGGTCTCCCTCACCCTGGGGGGCTTAGAACTTGGCTTGGGAATCCTGAGGCTACTTTCCAGACCCCAACCTGGGCCTCTACCCCTGGACCCACCAGGTGACATTCAGTGAGGAGTCCTTGCCCAAGGGCCATGGAGACTTCATCCTCGGCTATTACAGCCACACCCACAGCATCCTCATTGGTGTCACTGAACCCTTCCAGGTGAGTAAGCCAGACTGTGGGTTGGGGTGTGCCAAAGGACCCGTCCAAATGCCACAGCCTCTACATGCTGCTCTGTGACCTCGTATAAGGAACCTGACCTCCCTGGACTGCCAGTGAGGAGGCCTGAAGTGATCCCAAGAGCCCTCAGTGGTCAGTTGGGGAGAAGAGCATCCCAGTGACTAATCTTCCCCTCAGATCTCGCTGCCTACCTCGGAGGTGGCCAGCAGCAGCACAGACAGCTCAGGTGCCAGCTCCGAGGATGAGGATGACAGCACTCTGGAACTGCTCGCACCCAAGTCCAGAAGCCCCAGCCCTGGCAAGTCCAAGCGGCACCGCAGCCGCAGCCCAGGCCTGGCCCGCTTCCCCAGCCTTGCCCTGCGGCCCTCTTCCCGAGAGCGGCGTGGTGCCAGCCGCAGCCCCTCGCCTCAGAACCGCCGCCTACCCCGGGTGGCCCCTGACGGGGGCAGTGATGGCAGCAGCCAAGGTGGTCGTGAGGAGGGACCCTCTGGGCTGCCTGGCTCCCGGGCCTTCCCACCATCTGTGCCTCGAAACCTGCGCTTGCTGCCTGCCTTGCGTCTAGAGACCGTAGACCCAGGTGGCGGCAGCTCCTGGGGACCTGACCCGAAAGTCCCAACCCCTAACAGCCTGTCTCCGAGCCCCCAGGGCCAATAGGGATTGGGGAAAGGGAATGTGGCACCCTGAGGGTGGGTGGGCAGTGGGCCCTGGTGGCCCCCACTCTGTCCCATCTTCTGCAAACCTGCCTGCCTCCCTCCACTGCTGCTCCAGCTTCATTTGCACCTGCCACTCTGTCCTGACCAGGAGTGGACAACTGGGGTCCCCCAAGCTTGGTCCCGGCATCTTAACTGTGACAATCAGCAAAGCCCTGTCTGGGCCCCCATCTGGGATGGGGTGAGGGGCAATCCTGGAGGTCATCCATTAGGAATAAAATTCTCCAACCTCACTCCTGTCTGACACCTGTTAGCAGTCTGGGGGTGGAGGTAGTCAGAAGAAAGGACTAGAGAGGCAAGAGGATGACAGATCTGATAATTACCAGGCACCAGCTATGTATATTTCACACACAATTTCCTTTAATCTGTATCCTGAATTGTGGTGTTGAGCTCAGTACATTTTAGACCCATTTCACAGGATAGCAAACTGAGGCCTCAGAGAGGTTATGGGTGCCTCTCAAGGTCAGACACCTAAGCACAATTTGGTTGTGCTTGGAGGGAGGGAACATTTACAGGTGCTAAGCACTATATGTCTGTTGGTTCACTTAATTAGTATGAGGTAGGTCCTGCTTACATTCCTCTTTTTCAGGGGAAACTCAGGCTCAGAGTCAGAGGGGGTAAGGAAGGCGTCTTGCTCAAGGGCATGGGGAAGTTTTGAATATAAGTTTAGACTAGAAAGAATGGGCCAGGAATGACATAGCTGTTAAGAAAAGGAGTACCCTGGGGAGGAAGGTGATGGAGACCTCACTCTCTGGCAGTACACCCCTCCATCATGGGTTCAAACTGAGGTGCCTCTGTGACACCCTTCATTCCCCACCGGCCACCCCAGACCTCAGCAGGCGGGTAATGAGACTCCACTGGGCATATCCTTGAGAATGTTAATTTTGCAATATGAACATATGCGTGCCACCTCCTGGGACTGCTGCAGTAACTTAGCCTCTCCCCATTCCCATCTGTACATGAAGTTCCCTGGCTCGGCCCAAGTCCAGGGCATCAAAGTGAATCTCCTGAATACCACATTCTAGCACAGAGAGCTTATGGTACCAGTCTAAGCTCACCCAGCACAGCAGGAGTCGCAGTGCAGCCTCTGGGTCTCGGCCAGCCCCTCCCAGACTCCTGCTGTCCATAAGAACCTGCACCATATTTGGGTTAACACATGGTGGGAGGCTGAAATCCACAGGGACTGGCAAAGCCAGGGAAGTCCGGGCTGGTGCCCAGAAGAGCTGAAACGGAGGTCACTGGTTCCAGGGTTTCTGCTGCCCAGCAGACCTCTGGGCTGCCTGGGTCACCTGCAGGCACTGGTCAGAGAATGACAGAGGGGCTCCTGGGTGCTCTGAAGGCCTCGCCTGCTTTACATCTGGACTCTGGAGCTGGAGCTGCCTCTGCTGAAGACGCTGTAAGTGCCGAGCTGTCACCTTCATGGCTCTGGGCTCTCTGGAACAACTGTGGAAGGAAACAGCAGGGCAGACAGTCATGACTAACGAAGGCTGCACACTATTCTGCAGACGGGCTGAGGCCCAGACAAGAGCAGGTCTGGAGCCAGGGAAAGAGGTTACATCTGTAGGGGACAGAATAATCCTCAGTCTGCCACTAGCTGACTGCAGAAACCTGGGCCTGTTTTCCCACCCATAAAACAGGAAAGGGAACAGGGGCTGGCTTGAAAAATCAGGATCCAAAAGAGATGGTGAAATAGAAGTGAGGGTTAAGCAAGCATTTTTATTATGTGCCCGGCAGGCCTTAGGCTGCACTATCCATGGCCACTTTACAGATAAGGGAATGGAGACATAACAGGTGATTTGACTTGCAAGGTCACACAGGAAGTAACTGACAATCAGGATGCATCACAGCCAACTGCAGCGCTGAACCCAGGGTACCTGAGGGTAGGGGGCTGGTGACAGGGGAGCTTAGAGGTCCTGACCCCTTCCTCTGCACCCCTCAACCTAGGCACACAAAAGAGTTATAGGCAACCCACCCCTAAGGAGACCCCCCCCACCCCTTCCGGCTCTGCCTCCACTTACTCTTTGTTCCCAGCACAGTCTAGTGGAGGGGCCAGTTTAAAGCAGGTCATCCCCAGCCGTGCCCAAAGCACGTTGGCGCCCAATGGTAGGTGGTGACGCCTCAGGAAGCGTGCCAGCCTGAGGGCAAAGGTAGGCTTAAGTTGGCACTCAGCCTTAACCTGCCAGGTGCTCTCCCCTCCCCCCCAGAGCCCAGCAGTAGGCAGTCCACCACCCAGGTTCCATGCAGGCCTCACCGACGTGTGCAGTTGCAGTGAAAGAGAGGTTCAGGGGCGCTATTGAGCAGCTGGAACTTGGTCTCCTGGGGTCTGATCTGGTGCTCGCACTGGTCAAGGAGGTGGAAGCTGTGGCAGGTGCGGTGGACACCTGGGGGCAGGTGTGGGCTGAAGGGAGACCCCACCAATGCCAACTGCTGTCCAGAGAAACACTAAGACAAGTGCTCAGACGAACACACCCAGGAGTGTGGCCCTGGGGCATCCACAAGAAACCTCAGGGAAGGTTTCCTGGAGACAGAGGCTGCTAAGCTGAAGCTGGGAGAAAGGAAAAGGATGGGAGAATGCTCCAGACAGAGGGAACAACACATGCAAAGGCCCAGAAGTAGGAGAAAGCAAACTGCCTATGAGCAACTAAATCAAGATTGTGAAACTGGAGTTTCAACAGGGAGCCCAGTCTGCAGGGCCAGTGCCTGAGGGCCCAGGTGTTAGGACATCCTCTGCTGATGTACGAAAAACCGTGGTGGGGCTCACTGGGGAGTGACATGGTTAAGTTTGTGGTTTACAGAAGTCCTCTGGTTAGCACATTATTTGGGAGAGGCAGGGAAGATTTCAGAGAGGAAAGGAAGCAGGACACCCCCACATGCACAGAGGCAGGGACCCCTCCTCCTATCGGGAACTGCCAAAGTTAGGTTCTGAGCTCACCCTGAGGTCTTGGGTCATCCTGCAGCTCCCGGAGTCCTGGAGGGGTGACCTCCAGCAGAGCTGTGGGGGCTCTCTCAGGCCTGGTAGAGGCCACAGGGGCCTGGAGGGCTGTGGTATTGGGTCTGCTGGGGTACTCAGACCCTTCCTGCTGTGGCAGCCACTTCCAAAGGTGCTTCTTCTGTTGTGCCTTGGTGAGGGCCGGAGTCTGGGGGCTGGGAGTCAAGGGGTTGACCTGGGAGCTCCAAGAGGCATTGTAGAGGGTCCTGGGCTGGAGGCGGGCGAAGAGTATGGAGCCATGTGTTCTACACCTGGGAGGTGGCAGTTGTGGCAGTGGGTAACCCATAATCTCCCTCCCAAAAGCCCCGGAATCATCTTCCTGGAGCTACAGGCTCTGCCAGTCCCATCCCTCACCCACTGGCTCTTATGGGGCATTAGGGAAGGTCTGCACTGGATTCTCCCCTGAGTAGAGAAGGAGGCGTTATTTCCTAGAGGACAGACAGACAGACAGACAGGCCCCCCTCTCCCGGCTTAGCAAGTAGGCTCTCACGCTGGCTGAGAAGGGATTCGAAGGGGGCAGTCACGTACCCGCCCCACCAGAACCATGCCACGCACGCCTCCTGCTCCTGCAGCACGAAGCAGGGGATCTCCAGCACGTTGAAGAAGGCCACGCCCACAATGTCAGAGATGGAGTCCCGCTGGTTCTGCAGGCATTGCTGGAACCTGTGCCAGACCTGGCACTCAGGTCCCTGAGCCACAGAGTCACCTGGCTCCTTACCTGGTCCACCCACTCACTAATAGCCAGGTGATTTGGGGCCCAAGTTTTCCCACACCTCTCAGGCCTCAGCTTTCCCACTTGCACAGGGCAATCTGGGCTGGCTGATCCCTTCAAAAATCCTGGATTTTGCACCCAGAAACTAGGTAATTCCACCTCACCCCTGAGCACTCTGCCCTCCCTGCCCACCACCAACCTGGCATCACAGTCACAGTGGGAGATGGTGTGGAATCGGTAATTCCGGATGCCGTAGTTGTACTGGAATGGCGAGATGGTCTGTGGGCAGCGGTCATGTTCCCGGCAGCAGAGATCCGGACCCTGGAAGACCCCTGCGGGGAGCAGTGGGGGTGGGGGGCACCAGCTCTGTAGAGTCCTGGCCCTAGATGTGCCCAGGGGGCATGTTGGGGGCAGAGGCCTGGTTCTCCCCCTGCCCTGATACAAATGCCCTGGGTGGTAGGGCCAGTCACTCTCTTCTAGGAGACTCAGAACCTCAAAGCTTAAAGAGAACACCCAGACACAGCAGCTGTTGAGCAACCCCAAGTACTGGCAGCCCACCCAGGAACCTGGCCTATGGAAAGCTCTTTTTCGGAGAAGCTGGAGTCTACCTCCAGAGTTCCCTAGCTCACATCCCAATAAAACACCGAAGTTATGAATGTGTGTGGAATGGAATGGCAAGCAGGCAGGGTGCAACCTTTCCAGCTGGCACAATGAGGCGTTGCCAGGATGCCAACCTGCTCCAACTCGGGTGCCAAGCCCTCCCCTAACCCTCCATGCAGACGGCAGTTGCACTGAGAGTACAAAAAAAAAGTCATCTGTATCTTTCACCATCTGAGCAACAGCACCCTTTAGTGAGCTTCTCCCAAGTGCGCGACACTTCCTGAATCCAAGCTCAGGCAGCCTTGCAAGGGAGGAGTCACTTTCCTGGTGCAGGCTCGGAGAAGACAGGCGGCTTGGTCAGCTTGGATATGCTGAGCTGGAATTTCAACCCGGGCCTTCAGGTCTCAGTGTCCACTCCACTGGGCACTCTGTGTCCATAAAGCTCACTCTTGGAGAGCAGCTCTCTGGCTCAATCAATCCAGGGTCCACCCAGCCGGTGATAATCACCCTTGGATGATTATCTCTCAGGTTGGAGTTTCCCACCTATGACCACTTATGAGGCTGATTGTCACCCCCATTTTACAGCCAAGAAAATTGAAGTTCAGAGTGGGTTAGTCATTCCCTCAAGAAAACACAGCCTGGCAGAGTGGGGACCAGGGCTAAGCCTGTACTTTCTCTTCCAGTCCCCCACCCCACACCCCATGGCTCACCCAGCTCTGAGGAGTTCCCAGCGGAGTCCCCAACTCCACACCACAGCGTGCCAGGCATGGTCCAGCCTCTCTTCACCCGATGGTGCCCTGTGCCAGGTACTCCACTCTGCTCTGCTGCTCGTTTCTCCCTGGTACCTGCTGGACTGTCCTCATGCCCTTGGCAGGTCTCCCACTGACTCTGAAGGGTGGCCAGGACTCTCTGCAGCTTGGACCCAGGGGTGTGGATGAAGGAGCCCCGGGTGATCTCACCAGCACAGAGGTTACCAAAGGTTTCGGTGAGCTCGGACTCATCCTGCCGGCTACAAGCCTGCAGCCTGCCGTGCTCATCCCAGTGGGCGTGGAACAGGGCCAGCCCCTGAGCATCCTTGCCCAAGAAGCTCAAGGACCCCAAGGGGTTGCCGGAGATGGGCCTGGCCAAGTGGCAGGAGGTGCTGTTCCAAGGGAGGACAGCAGGGCCCCCCAAAGCCACCCCCCGGAAAATCAGGACCCCCAGTAGCACCACCAGAACCCTCATCCCGCCCTGGTCCAGGCACACAAAGCCCTGTGACGCCTACCCCTGGTGGTCCACGAGGCGGCAGCTCTGCAGCTGAGCGGAAGCTATGCCCAGCAGACCCGATGCAGAGGGGCCAATGAATGGAGCTTTGGGAGGAGTAGGAAGGAGGCTGGAGTATGGGGTGATCTCAGGCTTGTAACTGAATCCACCGGCTGGGCAGGCCTCTGATTGGCCGAAGAGTGCACTTGCTGGGCCCACGCCCCCACTTCCTTAAAGCCTTCTAGTCACCTGCTATCTGGCCCCGCCTGGATATGGGCTGTGGAAGCCAAAGCCCCAGGATCTGGGTGTGACAGCCAGGAGGGGGATCTGTGTTTTCCTGATGAAGGAAGAGGGTTCAGGGGCTCAGAGGAGGGGTCCAAAACTTGTCCTAATCACCCCATTTGCCCTGGGTGGCTGCCAAACCCACCTCCATGTGCTGGAAGAAAGCCATAAGTCTGCCAGAAATTGATGAGGACAGGGCTGGGACTCTCTGGCCACCCCCCTGGGAATTGCTCAGGCTTCCTGGAAAGGGAGCATCTATCTCCTGGTCACCTGGGTGCTAGCTCCTACCCTGCCGCACTCTGGTTCTAGGATAGATTGGTATACTCAGGAGACAGCTCCCCAGGGCTCTTCACTCCTGGGGCTCAGTCAGAGCATTTGTTGAGAGCAGCAAGGGGCTTGCAAGGCTGAAGGGACAAGGGCTCCCAGGGGAGCAAAGGGTGGCTCAGGCTCTGGGTCTCTGGCCACCCTGCCCCTGAACTCTGGCCACTTGGGAGACACAGCAGGGATCATGTCCCTCAAGAGCAGGGCTGCACCCACACATGTTCCTGTGTTCCAGAGCCAGTCTTTCAGCTTCCAACTCTCCTGAGAAGTCAGGTGCTTATATCCATAGCGCAAATGAAGAAACTGAGGCTCAGATGACCGTCTGGCCCCAGCTGGGCAGGGATTAGAGGCTGAAAACCCAGGGAAGCAGAGCCTGGGACAGGAAAGGGAGAAGAGGTCTAGGAGATACAGCCCCATCTCTGGCTTCAGAACCAGCCTGGTCCTAGGCCCAGTAAGGGACAATGAAGAGAAAGGACAGAGAGTGGGGGGCAGCCTAGAAGCCAAACTCCTCTCCAGAGGCTGGAAGGGGCAGGGATGACAGGGAGGCCTGGGCTTCCCAAAGGCAGGGACACAAACAGAATGCTGATTTGGAAACCATCGTTATTCTGGAAATTTCCCCAGTTGTAGGTCCTGCCATCCAGCTCCAGCCCTACCCATTTTCCCTATTCCAGCGCCCTTCCCTGCACACCACCCAGGAGGGGTGGGGAGGTGCCTTGGCACCAAAACGGTTTCAAGGGCAGACAGACCCAAGTAGTCTCCCTGTATTGTGTGCTATTCAGGCTTAGAACCTCAACTTCCCTGAGCCTCAGTTTCCTCATTTGTATGACGGGCACTGCACAGGAGTCACTTCACAGGATATTGGGTAAGATTCGGCACAGTTCCTGGCACCAAAACACCTCAAGTTCAGGACATTTGAGGCCCCCCTGAGCAGGAAGCAGTTTCCCCAGGAGACAGCAAAACCCAACGTTTCTAGGCCACAAATATCTGATAGCTAGTCCTAGCTAGTTTACTGCTGCCACTTCAGGCTTGTCTCTGCCCCAGTCTGGACCTCGTTCCCTTCTCTGTTCAGTGAGGGGTACAGTAAGGTTGACCTTTGAGGCCTCTTTCTGCCTGGGCCCCACAGGGAGGCAGGCTGGGGCCTGTCCAGGCCTCGAGGGAGGGTGTCGCTGGGTTTTGCCTTCAGATTCCACCCAGGCAGCCACGTCAGCCTGCAAGAGCCCTGCCTCCCTCTGGGGTGCCCCTCAAAGGCTTTGGGTAGAGGATGTGGGGGGCAAACCAAGAGAACAGGACAGGCTGGGGCCTGCAGACAGAGAGGGCTGAGGCTTTCCTCTGATTCCCGGACCAAGTCTAGCATGAGGTAGGGTGCAGTGTTAGTGGGGAGTGAGGGTGAGGCTCGGGGAGCTGGTCTGCCCTCCTGCCTCCCTGTCTGATGGTTCGTCCTCGTGTCTCTCCATTAGTCTCCATCATTCTCTGCCTCCTTTTGGCTTCTTTCTCACCCTCCTTGTCTCTCGTTCGCTTTCTCTCGCTGACTCAGATTCTCTTCATTGCTTTTTCTCCTCCATTCCCCTGTCCATCTTTCTCTCTGACCCTGTCCATTTCATTTTCTCTCTCCATTCTTTCCATTTTTTTTTACACATGATCTTATTTAATTCAAACACCAGTGTGTTCACACGTGATCCGAGAACACTCAACTAATAAAGCAAACATGATCAGGCGTTAAGGACTAGTCTTTAGGCTTTAATGCCAAGGATGCCACTCCTGCCCGTGAGCTCACTGACCAAAACCACATCCACTCCTCGGTGGCCACCAACCACTGGGCAAAGCTTCCTTCTCTGTGAGCCCTGGAAGCTACCAGGCTTAACTTATTGATTTTTTTTTTTTTCAAGCTCTGAGTAGCTGCAAGGACCTCAGCAGGGATTAGAGGCACCAGGGCAACCTTGTCTTAGCTCCAAAATGTAGCTGATGAGGCTCCCGGCCAGTCGCGGCTGCACTCTCTTCGGGTCACACACTGCCAGGTTCTACTAGGTTCTGCTCTCCCTCCATTTCTTTCTCCTTCTCTCTCTTTTCTGTCTCCTTTGTCTTTCACTTCCCCTGCTTCTGTCTCCCTCCCTTATTTCCGTCTCATTTTTTCTGCCCTGCCATTTCTGAGTATCTCTTTCCCCCCACTTGCACTTTCCCTTTTTTTCATTTCTCTCTTACTCTCTTCCTCCCCTCCCCCCATCTTCTCTCACTCCCTGTTTCCCTGTCTTCTGGTTTCTCTCCTCCTTTCCTCTTCTCATGGTTTTTCTCTGTTCTTTGCTTTTTCGTGGATCTCCTTCCCTCCTTTGGTATCTCTACCTCTTTTTCCCTCCTAATTCTTCACTCTTCCTCCCTGCTCTGCCTACCGTCCCAGGGCACACCCTGACCCCCAGCCCAGGACCTTGTGTACCTGCCATTTGCCATTCCCATCTCCCCAGCCATGACCTCATCTATGCTCACCATCCCTGCCCCTCCCTGGGAGACAGGTGGGGCAGAGCTTCTCATCCCATTCTTGAGATGGACAGAGAGAGGCCCCAGAAGAGAAGTGACTTGCCAGGAGCCACACAGTGGATCAGGGGAGAAGCCAGGTGAGACTTCCCCAGGCCTATGGGGAAGAGGCACCCCGGGCTGGGGACACTCTTAGTTTCCCCACAGCCCCCCACGCCATGGCTTTCTCTCCCACTGCCTGAGAGGTGCCCTCTCGCTGCCCCTTAGAGCTGCCGCCTCCTGCCTCCACCCCCTCACCCAGAGGACTCTCTTCAGCTCTCTGTGCTGGGAGACTGGTACGCACAGTACCTCACTCCAGAACATTCTGCTGTTCATTCACAAACAAATAGCTACTGAGTGTCCATTATGCAGCAGGCAGAAGACAAGGTCCCATACAGTGAGAGGAGGAGAAGCTGGACAGAGCATGCTCAAGAGGGGAGGTGGTAAGAGAAATATCCCCTGGAGGTAAGGGGTCTGGCAGCGCTGAGGGCCTGAGGGGAAGTTGGGTCCTCTGGGAAGCCACCACCATGACAGCTAGACATTCAAGAGATTTGAACGAAATGCCTGTGAACGATCTGGGAGAGGGCAGGACTGGCCAGGGAAAGCCTTCAGACCATGCTGAAGGTCTGGGGTCTCAGGGCAGAGAGTAGCAGGGAAAGAGGGTTAAGGAGAAAAGCTCTGCTCTGGGAAAGTCACACCAGTCAACACAGACTCTGGTGCGAAGATGGCCCAGAGCTCCAAAGTGTAGCCAATGGCCAGGTCCTAGAGACCCCACTGTGGGTTAGGGGCTCACCAGGAAGACGGTGACCCCAGGGCTGGTTCAGATGGTGGAAGAGCTGCATGGCAGGCTGGCAGCTAGTTTCTGTCCTTATTGCTAGTGACTGCCACACCCAAGATAGTGTCACCCCTTTTTGGCTGAGGCAACCCCCACTGCAGACCAGGATTGGAGACCTAGTGGCATTCATGAAGTCTGGCATCTCAGGAGGAAACTCAGAAAGCAGTCTTCTTCCAGGCAATCCCAGGACTAAGGAGTAGAGATCTGTGGGTACACAGCCAGATTTCTAGGTAAGAGATCAGCCCCTAGCATGCCTGGTGTAGACTGAGTCCAACCCAGGTCGAAGGGGATCAGGGACTTATCCCTGTCCTGTGACAAAGGACACCTGCATAGAAGAAATATATTTGATTCAACCCAATAGCTTATTAGAGTAGTGGGGGAGAGAGACACACACAGAACAGAAATCATTCTACCTAATTGAACAATGTTAAGAGCTGTGGTGGTTTAAAAATATGTGCATAAATTCCTTGGTACTCCTCCCTTCCAATGGTAGAGCCTAACCCCCCTCCCCTTCAGTGTGAGCTGTACTTAATGGCTTCCTTCACATAACTTCTGAGACTAAATCATAAAAGGCACTGTGCTATCTCTTGCTCTCTCCTTTGGAGTCACTCAGTCTGGGGAAACTAGTTGATATATTATGGGGATACTCAAGTAGAGGCCACATGGTGGAAATAGAAGCCTCCTGTCCACAGGCCTTATGCCCCAACTGAGTCTTCAGATGGATATAGTCAACCTGACTTTTTTTTGCAAACTAGCTGAACTGTAACTCATGTACTGAACAATTTAAGTATAAGTATACTTAAATTTAAGTATACAATTTGAGTATACAATTTGATCATATTTAGTATGTTCCCCATTATGCAGCCATTATGACTATCTGATTTCTGATGATTTCTACTATGCCCAAAAGAAGTCCTGCATACAGTAATAGTCAATCTTTCTCCTCCCCTGTCCCCACTAGCCAGTAATCTACTTTATGGCTCTATAAGAGTTTTCTATTCAGTACATTTAATACAAGTGGAATTATAGAATATATAGTCTTTTGTGACTGTCTTTTTTCATTTAGCATAATTCTTTTCAAGATTCATCTGTATTATAACATATGTCAATACTTCTTTCCTTTTTTATGAGTAGGTAATATTCCATTTTAGGTATATACCATATATTGTCT